AGAAATTGTGCACATTTTTTCTCGTCATCATCAACACATACGCTCAGAGTTGGTAAATCTTCACCGTGAGGTTGATCTTCATTTTCAGATCCATCAGATTCACATGATTCATTTTCAGTAGTGAAATCTTCATTTTCATTACTAAGCTCATTATCTAAATCATCATTCTTACAAGATTCATTGTTAGATGCAACCGTCTTAGCTTTAGATACATTTTTGATGCCCTGTCTGTTACACACCATATGTTTCCAAACAATAATGTCATCACGAGCCCTTGTTGACTGCTTTTACGTGATTCAAAACCACAAGTTGATGCATATAGATAATAAAAACGCATACCATCATGTAAGTTATTGAACAACATACCAACATGCGGTTTAAAAGCAGGGTCACATTCAGGTGTCCAGTACATAGTCGATCCCGGAGAAACTTGTATTTTAATAACATCAAACGATTGAGAAATTGCTGCAGAGGCACTGAAGTTAACGTCACCTGAACCTGATTGAACCATGCACACAAATAATTCATAAACACATACTTTAGCACATAGAGAACAGTAAAACTGAATATCAGAACACATATAAGAGCATCATAATAAACTTTAAAGTGCAGAACCCAAATAAAAATAGTAATTTTAATATGAATATAACCCCATTTGTAAAAAATTGATATATGTTAAGAAGGATTAAGCTATAGGCACAGAAATTATTCAAAAACACATGCATTAAACAAAGCCACTACAGTAAAAGTTCAATATTCAAATGCATATGTATCATACTACACTTTATTGTGCAATACAAAATATTAAGAAATTCAATTTTAACATAACAAAGTTTTTTCATCCATGATTTAGCACATCAGGAATCGGTAAACTAGAAGCGCATGACGTTTACAATATTGAAACGTAAAACTCCATGTCCAAATTGTATAATATATCCAAAAAGAAATTATATTTACACATATATTCATCCAGGAACGTAAAACATGAAGAGTTTAAACAATGATCAAAATAAAATAACGATACTTACTGAACTCCATGGAAGAACGTTAGGCTGGAGCAGAAAACCCACAACGGATGGAGCACCAAGAAAAAGAATGACACACAAGGAGGAATCTGATCAATACGTTCTCTGTCAGGATGAATCCCGAACAAGGAGAGAAGAAGAACGCAGGAGGAAGAAGGATGCAGGAGGAAGAGAAGAAGGACGCAGAAGAAGAACAACACATGAGGAAGATGGGTTTGGAAAGAATCGTGGAGGAACAATTAATGAAGGAAACATGCAGCGCCAGCTTAGGAAACGTACGAAGTATAAACAGAATTGACTTGAATACCCTCTAGGATTATTTAGGCGCACGGTATATTAAAAACTAATTCAACGGTTGATATTTATTCTTTTCTATCTCATAAGATTAGATTCTCACATGGTCTTATATATATAGGATCATCTTAACGTGAGAAGTGAGGTTACACATTTACCTATTTCTAATGGACTTTTTTGATAATTTGATGCACTTTTTTGCGAAGGCAAAAAAGTTCTGATTAATTACAGAAATGTCACCGCGTCTAGGATCACTTTTTTAATATTTTTTGCACTTTCCCGTGCACTTTTTTGCAAATCTGATGGACAGATCTTAAATTGAATGCACTAGATGCACTCTCACTTCTTACGATAAGCACTCTTCTCATTTGATCCTTATTCGATATATATATCCATGTCTGCTAGCATTTCTATCCAACCCAAAATCATGATTCCGATTCCCTTCCTTCTCCCACATACTACTTCATTAACGTTGCATCTTTGAGTTCACCGGTGTTCTTCGGGAACGTAGAAACTGTTATATCTTAGGACAGGCCAGCCCTAGCTTATCAAAGGCCCTATTCAAAATTGAACAAGGGACCCTAAAACACAACGTTTTTATCATCGGTCATCCAGTCCTTTTATACCTTCTTTTTAGTCTTCTTGCAATTTTTTCCGGTCTCTTCCTCTTCTGGAGAGGAGGAGGTGAGTTGAAGTATAACGAAGTTAGGAGACGAGCCCGATTGCGCTTGTGATGCTTAAAACCCAGAAGAAGGACACAAGATAGAAGTTGAGTGCCTCTAATTTATTTGGAACAAGTTAGATAAAGTCATGATTCATGAAAGTGAAGCTTGGTGCTGATCAAAGACTCAAATTCATAATAGAAACAAAATAGATAACAAAATAGCGTTCAATAAAAACCTGGAGGGTGATGAACTCCCAAACATGTTAAACAACGAAAAACGACAGGTATGGAAGGAAAGTATGGGTCGGTTGACCTGTGTTCTATATATACGGATATAAATCATATGTTAATAGGTTTACTAATCTACAAAGCTAATAAAAATTTGGGGCCCTATCAGAAGTTGGGGCCCTGTTTTCAGTCGCACAACCTAAACATGGTCATGGCCGGCCCTGTCTTAGGAGGCAATTGTTACTTGAGTTGTGGACAAATTCGTCTTAAGGTGACACCGATTTGTTGGGCTCGGTTTCATCCAAGTATTTCTATTTACTTCTAGTTTTTATTTAATTAATAAATGCAGATTTTATGAATTTTGCATAACATATGCGACCTCTCGAGTATCCTCTAAGAAGTTCTTGAGCAAGAAAAATGTTATCAAACATGAGATGCCCATCCACAAAAGCTCCTTGGGTCGGGCCAATGAGACCAGGAAGCACGGTGCCAGACTAGTCGCTATGATCTTGGTAATGACCTTATAAATCACATTTGTGCATGATATGTGTCTAAATTAAGACACCCTGGACGAGTGGTTTTTTTCCGGGGTTAAGACAATAATTGTGTGGTTTGTTTGCTTAAGTAAACTTCCCGAATCAAAGAACTCTTTCACGGTGATGATCATATAATTCCCAACCAAGTCCCAATTCTTTTTAAAGAAAGCTGATGAGTAGCCATCAAGTCCCGAACCCTATAATTCCCAATATAAAAAGAACATTTTTTATTTTCAAAGCGGATAAATGGGTTGTGCAAGTTGTGCAACTTATCAATCATGGAAGGGTCGAGACATTTCAAAAGTAGCAATCATGTCTTCCTCATTATGTTTCCGTGGAGTGTGGACTATGGCCTAGCAAATTACGCAATCATTCGGGCATGCCACATTAGTCCATTGTCATATTTTCTCTTTGCTATTTCTCATATATTTACTGCCTATACATTTTACTATTTTTGAGTTCGTTTGGTGAGGTAACTTTTTCATCAAATACGTAACTTTTGATTTCACGCACTATATAATCGATATTTTTCGGCTTATCAGTCTTAGCCAACTTTTTAACCAAATACATAACATTTGATTTAACGTGCTATATGACAGATATTTTTAGTTATTTTTTTTGTACGAGTTTGCTTTATTTGATTAATAAAATGTACTACCTCTGTCCCTTAAAACTTTGTCAAAGTTGAACGACACGGAGAATAATAAAGTAAAAATAATGTGGTTGAGGTTTGTGCAGAGGAGAGAGAAATAACAAAAACCACGAAATAATTAATTAAAAGGGAAAGTGGCAAAGTTTTTAGGGACTCCCAAAAAGGAAAGATGACAAAGTTGTAAGGGACGGAGGGGGGTATTTTAAATATAAATTTTGTATGAATTAATAGAGTCAGACAATCGTACAACTTCAGCCAGAAGCTATTAAATTTCAACGAAATCGACCGATTCAATCAATTTTATTGTTATAGCTTTGTTACCCGCTGGTTTGAAATGACAGATTCGTCCCTTGATAATCTGGGCTAACAAGCCGTGTTGAAAAACCGGCCCGGAGCATGACCCGTCATATACTGCGGGTAGGAGAGAAGGAAACGTGGAGGTATGTGTCCATCATAGAATCTGTTTATATCATCAAATCCAACTAATATATTAAATCAAAATAACGTTCGTCACATGGCTGATAATACAATAAAGGAAAAAGGAGTAAACAAAACGATAAAAAGTCTTATGTCTGTCGTCCACCCTCGAGCCAGACTGAGAATCTATCACATCTGTAGAAGCAATAACATTCGCTGATCATGTAATGGGCATAACTGAGCCAATGACCGGCAAACCAGACTTCTCATCATCTAACCTAAATTTAAGAATTTCTTTGCTAGGAAAAAAGAACACGTCCAAAACAACATGCAATTCGATAGAAAATCATTATTCAATTAAAATAGAGTTCACACATCTTTTTCCAAACCCTAGATTTGCTTGCACTCCATGGCGCCGGCTCAGGAGGGCGACACGCCCGCCGCTCATCTGCCACATCCTCAATATCAACTTCATCTAGATTCAGTTCTTCTTCCTCAGCCCCAATCACCATCTTCTTATACCGTCCTCTACAATTTCACGATAAGATGCTCATTGACTCCTCCCTACCAAAGTCCTCCCTGTGATCTCCTCCTGCAGCCAATAACAAAGACCTTCTCGGCGCCGTACTCACCTGAGTGAAGCACCGCCGGACAAAAAGCTAGGCGTCGCCTGAGTCGGCAACCCTAGAAGCGCGAGCATAAAAGAGAAGACGAGCAAGAGATTGTTCTCTATATGGCTAGTCCATCATAGAATCTTAATTAAATGTATTATAACTTTTTTATTTCTAATTCAAATTTTATAAAAAATATACTAAAATTCATGAATTTTTATGATCTTTCAATGATTTTTTTATTTTTTAACTATTGAAGTTTTCCTGAGCCTAAAAACATGAAACACATTTTAAATAATTCATGGAGTCTTTACCAATAATCGAATATTCTATAATCGAACTTTTCTTGAACTAAATTCATTTTTTGTTAACCGAAAAATGTTAAAAAAATTTAATGAAATATACTTATTTTTACATCGAAATATGTATTTTTTATTTCATAATTATTCAGGAAAAATATTAGAAGGAAAAAATCATTTAAAATAATTTAATTAATATTTTATTAAATTGATACGAAAAAAATATGATGTATGTATTTTATTGGCATGAAGAGTCTACTTTTGACCTTTTGGTCTCCTCACTGCTCGAAATGGTCTTGCAAGGTTCGTTTTTGATAAATTATAGTCCACCATGACCCAAACGTAAGAAAATCCTGGAGTCAAAGAGGAAGAACCGGGATGAACGCAGCTCTCGTCCTTACATTTCTTCCACCAAAGGTCTCCACTGTAATAACTGCACCTACGCTGCATCGCAGCACTTCCCTTCTCGCATTCACGAAGCCTATTGCAAGCAGGCCCATTCCTCCTCAGAGGCTTGACATCCGAGCATGGACCGACGACGGGGATGCGGACGCTGGAGGTTCAGACTCTTATGATATGGAAGAAGAAGAAGATTTCGAGGAAGCTGACAACAAGAAAGACTTCGACATTGACTATGATACCTCCACTAGCCTCTCCATTTCCGGCGGTGCTGACGACATTAGCATGGTCAGCAGCAGTAGCTTCGTCTCCACCCATGGATGGGACTCCGAGAAAACAGTCGATTACCGTATTAACGAAAACGAATTCCACAAAATTAGCCTTTTCCACTGCGACTTCTTCATCCGCAAACCTCCTGACCCGGACAACGACGTCTATGATTTCCGAGAGGTGTGCGCATCTTTCTTTTTGCATATTTTTTATGACACCAGAAATCCATTTCTTCCTTTTGAGTTCTTCATCGATCACTTGCGCTGTTGTTTGAGGCCTTTTGAAAAACTAACCTATACCTTAAAGGGGAGACTCTTCCAGAATGTGGAAGGTTGAATTTTTGGGAGTATAAGTGTATAACTGTATAAGATTGAAACATAAACTTGTTACAGAAAATTTGAAACTAAGTATGATTTTAAGTGAGAAGATTTTGTGTAAGAACTGAGCTACGCAAGATGTTTTGAGGAGCTTCTGATTTCTGATAGTGGATGTTAGTTTTTTATGATTATGAAAATGTTGGGTTATGAAAATGGGGTGCTCCAATATAACGCAAAAAAAAGAGATGCAAAGTCAAATTTTCCCATTTTTTAAATTGTTGGCGAGGTGCAAAGTCAAATCCCCTTCTTTAAATTCTTGGGTTATAACTTCTCATGTGGAATATATTTACTATACTTTTTGAAATTATCATTGGAGATGCTCTAGTTATATTTTTTATTGCAGATGTATGTGACTCCACCAGATACTGATGTGTATGCAATTCCCCAAGTTCTTGCACCAATGCCTCAAAAGGTAGGTGATGTACTTCCCCGAAGTTTATAACTTTACTTGTTTGACACTTGTGCTATTCCCTACTTATGTATATATACTCTACAAGTGTGTGTGCGTATATTGAGTACCAGCATTGATGTAATAGCCTTCAAAGTATTAACGGGTTGGGTGATTCATTGCTATCAATGTAGTATATTAGATGTGCACAGAGTGAATATGGGTTATGGAATGTGACAGAGCCTCCAGTTGACGCACCTAGAGATCCATTGTACAAGTCTGAGAGGGAAGTGTTCAAGGTATGAGCAGAGTATGTTCCATTTTCTATGCTACAGTAGTCAGGTCATCAAATTTGCTTGATTTCCTTAAAAATATAGAATAGCAAAATAAATGTATAATATATTTGAACACAGGAAACATAAAAAATAAAAATAAAAATAAAAATAAAGAGGACAATATGTTAAAACTTTGGAATTAGTTCAACGAAAAAGGTATTCAAAAGCAATAGTTCAGCGGTCACTGCAGAATACTATATACAGTTTGAAGGGCATAATAATTTCCATCTTCAAGTGGTGTACCACCATCTTTCCTTCACACCTTTGACGGTTGAAATATTTTACTGAAGGTTAAAGATATGAAGTCCCAGCAGGATAATTCTTGTTTAGTTGTAGAATTATCTGCCACCTGTATGTAAAAAATGTAAGCTGCTAGATGCTAGGGTGCTTCATATATTGTAGTACTATCACAAGTTAGTATGATGAGTCTAAATGTAGAAGGGTCACCTGCTGTACAACAACTTTGAGGATTAATTAGTAATAATCTACTTTCTTTTCTGTTGTTGTGGTGAATGGTGTTCTTGTTCCTCTGGCAGGTATACTTGACAAAGCACTTCCAAAACCGCAGAGCAGGTGATTCAGATTTTGTTTTAGATTTTGAGGAGATTTATGTTATTGATTCAAAAACCAAATCTATTACAAGAGCTAAAGTGACGGTAAGAAGCTCCACATATATATACCAAAGGTTATACGTAGTATATTATAACTTTGTGCTTTACGGTAGTTTTTCTATACACCTGTATAAAGTAACAGGTATATAGTGTCTAACATGATAGATTGATAGCTGAGTACACACACATTGCCCCATGCACCCCTTTCTCATTACCATCATCATCATCATCAGCATCATCAACTTTAACCGTTATCCCTAGTCCCTACTATCGTGGCTCATTAACTCTGCATGAAGGTTGAATTGATAATTACGCAATTTTCTAAAAAGTACTCCCTCCATATTTTAAAGATTGCTACAATAGAGTTTGACACATTATTTAAGGAGGAAATAGTAGGAGTAATGAATAGCGTAGAAAAACTTGGAGAGAGGTTAGAAAAGTACGAAAGAGAAGATAAAAGTAGAAAAAGTAAGGGAAATTGAGTATTTTTAAAGGAAAAACATACCAAAAGAGGAAAGTGTAGCAACAATTTTAATGCATCCGAAAAAGGAAAGTGCACTAAACATCTTAAGCTCTGCAAAAGCTTATATTGACAAAGTCTTATACTTGATTCGCTATGTCTCAACTTTTGAAGGAACTTCAGAACCATTATCATCATGTGCATGTTCTTGACTTCTTTTGAGTTGAATGAAAAATATCTAGAAACAACAATGAGTTGAAATAGATAGATCTTTTGTTACGTCCAAGTGCAACTTTGCAAGATTAAAGGGATGTCTATAAATCAACTTGCAAGATCAATGAGTAGAATATGGAATTCTCTCCTTCTCTATATTATTGCAAAATGTATTAAATACTATAATTAAATCAAATCATAAAGTTAATCTAATTGGAAAAATGAACCCCCTACTTGAGCATAATATTAGCTATTTACTTTGCACTTAAATCAAGAATAGGAAAAGTTTGTGAAATAGGAGTATTTTTGTTGGAAATTCCAAAATAGGACAACTATGTTTTTCTTCTCGAAATAAGAGTAATATGACAATATTTACTGCCATCTTGGAGTCATTACTTTTGAAATAGTTTCAATACTAGGCATTAACACGACAACACAATATTTTTCAATCATGGCAGTAACGACTCTTATTTCGGAAATAAAAACATAGTACTCCTGCTTTTGCATTTTAGAATGTTTTTATTCCTATTTAGGGCAATTTCCCAGCAAGAAAATGATCATTCAAACAATGATTATTTTAGAAGTAAAGTTAGTAGGCAACCATAATAACATTAAATGAAAGAATGAGTTTTTTTATACAGGAAGTATACGTTAAGCTGCATTTTAACAATGATTCTTTTCCACAATGAAGTAATGAAGACATAACTATCAAGCACAGTAAATAGCACAAAAGCAACTTAGGAGTCCGTCTCAACAATGATTATTTCAAAGCCAAGCTCAAAAGTTCAATCACAAATCCACACCCAATATGCTTTGGTGCTCCATCAGTTTTAAGCTTAACCAAATTAGTGGTACCCACCAGGACAAATTTGCTAACCAAAAGTATTACTTTGCATAGGCAAGTCTCAGCAATGACTTTGTAGGGATTCAGAGTCAGACAAATCATCATCTTTCCGAAGTCAATGTTGTTGCACTTACGAATCTCTGTTTAATGGAAGGCTCAACACTTCCACCTTATCTCTAACTAAAATGCCCATTTTCCAGTCCTGAGAGTCATTTTTAAACTCCACAACAATATGATGGTGTGCACTCAGAGATCAGGTCTAAGGTAACAATGTTCTTGACATCAATCCCTCCTTCCATTTGAGGCAAACATCCCTAATATAAGAGCCATAATGAATATGATTTGGGTAGGCTGTAAACACCTCCGTTGGTGGATTAAAGTGAAAGTTTGTGTGTGACATATAGATTGCTATAATAGCTTATCAAGGCACCTTTGCTATAATGTCGACGTTGGTGTAAACACCTTTGAAATGGATCGTAAAATAGTTTGTGTGTTATAGGCTTTTTAACTTCTTTGTAGAGGCCCAAGTTGGAAGCTCGACGACATGCCAATTAGAGCCATTTCACATCACTCGCTTAAGTTTATTTTATGTTGGTTGATAAATGTCTTCGTTTGTTGCTAATTTGGTTACTCCTAGTACAATGTGTTATTTAATATTATCTGAAACAGGTGAAAGTTCCGGAAGGAAGGTCCAGGGATAGATATAATGATTTTCTTGTTATCCATGATAATGGAAACTCTTTCAAAATAATCCCATCGGTAACTATTTCCACCATGACTATGATCCTTTTGTTTTCTACCGTATTATCTGCCTGTTACCCGAAACTGTTAAAACCGTTTGCGTGTTTATTTTTCCTTTTATATAGGAAGAGAGAGAGAGCCCATCAACTGTGATACAGAGAGAAGAGTGGAACGATTCACGAGAAGAGATGGAAAAGCACCTTAGTAAACTTAGAGATTTCAGTGTATCAAATTGGTTTTAGCTCGAGATATTTAATCTTTCTACGATATGGTATTTTCCTGAATGATAAATGTCTTCGTTTGTTGCTTGGAGAGTGAGGTTGTCACTTGGAAAATACTTAATTTTGCAATATTTTAGCTACTTATTTAGATTTAGTCTTAATGAGAATACAAAAGTATATTCCCGAGCCAACCAAAATTAACACAATATAGAGTTCAAGAATTATTATGGTATTTGACCTTTTACAAATTTTAAATTTCAATTTAATAGGGAGTACTAAAGACATGTTCCAAGAGTTGTGACGATAAGACATATTCCAAGACTCTTGGAATGCCCTATTGTAAATGTTTACAAGGCAATAATAACTCAATAAGAGCTGTCCAAAGAATTGAAATATGATACACATAATCAATGCAGTGTTTTCACCTTTTTTCCGGTAGCGATGTCTTTTTAGATATACAGTGGTGCAAATGTGCAATATTTATCAAGAAATCCTTTTCATGGTAAAACAGTAAATGAACAGAGATGTCTAAAATGACCAAAAAAAATCTAAAAGGTTCAAGGAGAGTGATGGAGCATAAAAAATAAAATCATGATGTGCACTGTACACTACATCAAACTCTCAACTTATTAGTCTCTATATGTAGATGAGGTATATATATGCATGCAAAACTTGGTAAATTTTAGGATGGCCCATGCAAACAAGTGAGCATTGTCAATTGTCATTGATCGCTAACATGGGATAAACTCAAACTGGTTTGATAATGAGAAGTTTGAAATATAAAAAGAATCATACCAAGCTCCTGAGTGAGATCGATTTTACGATCCACTGCTAAATCTATATCCACGAATCCAGCAAACGAGGGTGTGTACATTCTTGAGTTATTCAAGATTGACCTGCCTCTTCACACAAAGTTACTTATTTGGCTATTAGGATGTGCAATATAACATTAGCAGCAACTCATCTATTTTGTCTGTTGTAGTATTAGTAGTAAAAAACACATATGTGGTTGCATCGGATCGAGCACATGAGGACTTTGTACTTGTCTTGGTTCCGAAAAATTCGGAAAGAAACAAGGGTGAACTCTTCCAAGCTTTTGGAGGCTAAAGTTGCAAGGCCAAATGGGCCAACATCACCTTGGACGTGTTGCATAGCTTCTGAGCATCATAGATATCCCAGCTGGGATCAAACGACTCTGCTTTGTCCAAGCTTTGGAATGGGAAACTCACCTCAACTAGGGATGGACCAAACCGACCCGGCCCGGCCCGGATATTGAATGGGAGGTTCGGGCTTTGACCCGGCCCGTGGGAGGGGAGCGGTTCGGGCACGGTTCAATAAATAGGCGACCCGGCTCGGCCGGTTCGGGCCCGGTCCGGGCCAACGGCTACATTTTTTTTTTAAAAAATTTTTGTTTTAGCCATCCAAACTGGCCTTAGAGCCGTTGTAATTGAACCCAAACGGCTATGTAGCCGTTGAGAGCCTTCCTGGGGTCCCGGGGTGGGGGGGGGGGGGTGGGCCGTGGGGGTGGGGGTGGGGGTACAAAACATCTATAAATACTCCATTTTCTATACAATTTACTACACATCTTCTCCAAATATTCATACTCTCTAATCTCTATTCTCTACTAATCTTCTCCATCTTCATCTTCTCAAATTTATAACTACATATATTATACTTCCTTATCGGTCTATCCCACCAAGATTGTCTCATACCAAATTTGGTATAGTTTGTGTGGCTCTAAATCATTCTTACTTTATTCTTACTGTATCAATTCAATATCAACCACATAAACCACTTTTTATTGATTTGCGTGTCACTCCCTCTTGTCCCATTGTTAGCGGGGCGGAGGGAGTATTTATTATCTACTTATATTAATATCTAATTATTATATTATTGTTACTTATATTTATTTACTTATATTTACATATTACATATTTGATATTACATATATAATTATCTCTAATTTATTTACTTATATTTACATTTTAGATATACTCAATATATACTTATATATATTAAAGTATTATATATAAGTGTATTACCAATCTTATAGTAATATACTTATATTATATATACTATAAACATAATATTATATATTACTAGTTAATCTACTTATTATCTACTTATAAATATATATATTAAGTATATCTACTTATACACTTACTAGTTAATTGTTTCACTTATCATTTTAGTATTAGTTCATTGCTATAAAAGTAGTTAATTGTTACATTTATTAATCTCTTATCATAGTAGTTAATTGTTACATTTATTAATCTCCTATAAAAACTAGTTAATTGTTAAACTTGTTAAATAAAGTTGTTAGATTGTAAAACAAATAGTTCAAATTTTAGTTAATTGGTAAACTAGTTAATTGTTAAACTTGTTAAATAAAGTTGTTAGATTGTGAAACAAATAGTTCGAATTTTAGTTAATTGGTAAGCTAGTTAATTCGAAATTAATTGTTTAATTGTTAAATTAGTTAATTGTTACATTTATTAATCTCCTATAAAAACTAGTTAATTGTTAAACCTGTTAAATAAAGTTGTTAGATTGTGAAACAAATAGTTCGAATTTTAGTTAATTGGTAAACTAGTTAATTCGAAATTAATTGTTTAATTGTTAAATTAGTTAATTGTTACATTTATTAATCTCCTATAAAAACTAGTTAATTGTTAAACTTGTTAAATAAAGTTGTTAGATTGTAAAACAAATAGTTCGAATTTTAGTTAATTGGTAAACTAGTTAATTCGAAATTAATTGTTTAATTGTTAAATTAGTTAATTGTTACATTTATTAATCTCCTATAAAAACTAGTTAATTGTTAAACTTGTTAAATAATGTTGTTAGATTGTAAAACAAATAGTTCGAATTTTAGTTAATTGGTAAACTAGTTAATTCGAAATTAATTGTTTAATTCTTAAATTAGTTAATTGTTACATTTATTAATCTCCTATAAAAACTAGTTAATTGTTAAACTTGTTAAATAAAGTTGTTAGATTGTAAAACAAATAGTTCGAATTTTAGTTAATTGGTAAACTAGTTAATTCGAAATTAATTGTTTAATTATTATTCCAATTTAATATTTGCTATATTTTTAATATGGAGCGTGCTAGAGCTTCTGTAGATATGGGTAACCTCCGCCGCAACCGAACAAAGGAGATTGCGAGGATTCATCCAATGTCACGCAAAGGTAAGGGAGAGCCGGGGTCTTCATCTCAAACCCGAGATGATTTTGATGCGGATTACAACCAAAGATATGGTGATACGATGTCCGATGAGCAACTAGAACAACTATTGCAACAAAATCTAGGAGGTTTTTTTCATCAACAAGACATCCCGCAAACCATTGACGAAGAAGAGCTCGAGGATGATGATGCGGAGGAGAGGGATCCGCGAACGGTCGAGGACGAGGTTCATGAGGAAGAGGAAGCGGAAGTGGCTACTTCTTCCCAAGCGGGTGGGAAATCTGAATCTGTCTTTAAGGCAAATTTTACAAAAGTTAAAGACATCGAAACCGAGATATGGTACGCCACTTGCAAGCATTGCAACTAAAAGTATAACCTGAGAATTTCTGGAGGGTACGAGAGCGCCATAAGGCATCTTAAGGCCAAGCACCCGGCGGAATATGCGAAATCGAACAAAGCAATTTTTTTTGCAAACTTTGATGGACGTGTTAGTATATGTAGTGATATATGGGAGGATACTCATCATCATTTATATTATTTGGGTTTGACTGCACATTATATTGATGATGATTGGTGTATGCATAAACGTGTTCTTGCTTTTCGTGAATTTAATGATAGACACACCGGTGATAATATTTATATTCTCATTGAGCGTATTTTAATTGAGTATAATTTGATTAATAAGGTGTTTGCAATTGGTTTTGATAATGCTACTAATAATACTGCTGCTATTCCTAGATTGCGTGAATTGTGTGGTTCATCTTCTTTGATGGGTAGGTTTTTTTATCAGCGTTGTGCATGTCATATTTTAAATTTATTTGTAAAGGACGGGCTATCGGCGTTGGGAGATGCTATGGAGGTGGTGAAGGGGGGATTAAACTTATTTGGGCTAGTAATCAACTTAAGATGCGATGGAGAAATTATTTGAAAGAAAGACATGTCAAATACTGTGCTTTTTCTAAAGATTTGTCTATTCATTGGAATAGTACTTATAATTTAATTAAGGTGCTTATTAGATTTAAAAACCATTTTCCTGCTTTTTTAAAAGAATATGCTAATTATATTATAAACCCGACCGACATCGACACTTGTGAAAAAGTTTTGAATATTTTGGTATATTTTAATAATGCAACTCAAACTTTTAGTCATGTTTATAAACCTACCGCAAACCAATTTTTTGTTGAAGCTGTTAATCTCGCCGGCGCTTTTTGTGAATTTGCTGATGCCGCTTACGTTAGTTATTTTTGTGACTTCATGAGACAAAAGTTTTTAAAATATTATTCCTATATTCCGCATATATATAGTATTGCATTTATTCTTGATCCTCGTTTTAGACTTGCTTCTTTGGAACAATGTTTAGATTACTATTATGCTTCTTTTTTTGGTCCATTGCCTATGTACGACGACAAGGCTATAGACCCGAAACAACAATTTCAAGAGGTTAGTAATTTATTATATCAATTATTTAATGAGTTTCATGCACAATATGGTAACGCACCCCCTCCCCCGCCACGAACATCTTCTTCATCTAAAGGAAAATCAATTTTGAAATCTTCATTTGGCAATCTTATGAAAAAAAGTAAATCAACTCCGGTTAATGAACAAAGCTCGATCAACGAGCTTTCTTTGTATCTAACATTTCCTGTTGAGTATGAAGAAGGGGATGATTTTGACGTTCTTCAGTGGTGGAAGGAAAAAGAGAGAACGTTCCCGATCTTATCAAAGATGGCTAAGCAAGTGCTAGCAATGCCGGTATCAACAGTTGCTGTGGAACAAGAGTTTAGTGCTGCCGGCAACGTCCTAACAGATTATAGAACGAGATTGAGCGTAAACTCTCTTGAGACGCTTGTTTGCTTCCACGATTGGTTGAAGGCCAAACGTAGAACTCAATAAATTAACATTGAACCCACCTGCCACTTTATGGAAGAAACAACCGAAGATGGCGGAAATTCTGATTGATTCTTACTACCTCCGTTCCCCTGTTATTGTTCCATTGCGGTTTACGATGCTTGATTGACGATAAAGCAATCAGATCCCTGTCCGCACTAGAATTATTTTTAGGAAAAAAAATTGCATATTCAGAAACTACATTAAAATGTTTACAAAGTCGCAAAAACCAGAATCAATTTGATAAAAATTTGATAAATAAGGTAAGAGATTAAGAGTTAGGAAATTTGACCAAGTGAATAGGAAATGAGACAATAACAGGGAGACGGAGAGAGTATTTATTAAAAAGTGTATTTCATGTTTTAATTTTTGCTCAATTTCCAATTGTACTACATATTTCAAATAAATATATTTTAAATTTGAGAAAACTATCATATAAGCCCTCGTACTATGTCGGAAAAGTCGATTAGGCCCTCGTACTTTATAAACACTCAATTAAGTCCTCAAACTATTAAAAACGTTCAGTTAAGCCCTTTCGGTCGGTAAGTAACCGGTTTTTCACGTTTAAACGGTGATGACGACGACGATGTGCTCGAACCCCCGCAACGGCGTCTGCCGGGAAACGGGTTACATTTAACTGGGCAATCGGTTACCTACCGACTGAAAGGGCTTAATTGAACGTTTTTTAATAGTTCGAGGGCTTAATTGAGTGTTTGTAAAGTACGAGGGTCTAATCGACTTTTTTGGTATAGTACGGGGGCTTATTTGATAGTTTTCCCTTTATTTTTTTATGTCCAACTAATCTTAATTTAATATTTTAAAAAAAAATTAAATAGCCCGGGTCCGGCCCGAACCGGCCCACTACCCGGCCGAGTAGGCCTGACCCGGACCGGACCCGATATCACCCCGGGCCGGTTCCAGTCCCATGTTTCTACAAAAAAGCCCGCCCGGCCCCGGCCCGGAACCGGAACTGGACCGGCCCGGGTCCATCCCTAACCTCAACATCAGCCTGCATGCAAGCAATGTAATAAAACATAGATTCCCTAATCAATTAACAACTATAAGGGTTATGACTTGTGTTTAGCATGGTTTTAAATTACTTAGATTTGGTTGAGAATGATTCATAACTGGCTTTTACAAAGCATAAACAATGCAACATCTTTTAGCAGAATCTTTTATTATGGTGTGCAGAGCATTAAATTGTTCACACCACTGCCGCTTCATCAACTGCAACAGCCGCAATTAGACCATTTGTAGTGGTTGAGAGGTCAAATTGTTAAAAATGGACTCCGTTCATATGAAAACAACGTTTAGACTCCTATTTCCTTGCATTCCAGCACCATTAATAAAATACTCAACATATTTTTTTACATACCAATTTAGTAAAACATTAATTAAATTAGTAAAACATAATTTGAGAGACAGAGACTACGTTATTGGAATACACACAATATAAAGTTCTAGACTTAGTTGAATGTTCGTTGAATGAAAGGATTGTATCACTATGAACTCTATATTACAAGGAGTTTGAATAGTCCTCGCAAACGCCCTTATATATTAAGTTTGTCTGGAAAATCGTTTAGGGATTAACTAAGACTTTAATTTGATTAGTGCTTAATATATACGACCCTATGGGTCACACAACATGTGATTATACCTTCCAAATGAATTGTTAAAAGGAATTAAATGAAATAAAGTTGAATTAGTCATCTCCTAACTATTCATGATTAGGAACACATTATCATCATTGTTAATATAAATAAGAAATCATAATTATGATTTCTAGATGGCAATTGTATGGCTCACAATTAGCTCCTAATCTAGACAAGATTATATTTTCCCCTATAAATAGGAGTATTCTCCTTCATTATAAAGACACCATTAGAACATCTATAATACACCTCTATCACTAAGTGTTCATACTATATTTTCTCTCCCTGATCTTCTGCTTATTTGCTTCCATTTTATAACACGTTATCAGCACGAATTTGCTCCAAATTCCGAAAATCATCATCTTCCAAGAAGGTATATATTTTTACGAATTTATCAAATTATCTGAAAAAAAAACAGAGGATGAGAAGTATAAACATGTTTATATATATATATATATATATATATATATATATATATATATATATATATATATATATTCAAAACTATAAGAAGTATGCTCTGTGGTTGCCCAACCGTTGGGATCCTCCATATCAGAAAATTATAGCTATATTTTATATAAAATAGGTTGAAGAGGATAGAAGAAAGACATACCTTTATACTAATATGTTCTTGAAATAAAATCTGCTCTTAAATCTGAACTTTTGCTTCAGAAGAATATTTGACAGCATATATTAGAGATTTTCATGTATATATGAAATAAATCCGTATGAATATAAGAAGAGCATAAGCTTATCAAACTAATTCATTGATTATACATTGGAGTAGTTGGTAGTCGGGCCATACGCCCATACAAATTGATAAAGAGCATTTATTTTACTTGTCTTCTTCTTTTGTGAAGACACTCACATAACTAATGCCATCATATAATGAATACATACTCCGTAAATAGGAGAATTGAAGATAATAGAGTATATGAAACCAAATTGGCATCTTATTTCTCTTCTTAACAAAATACTCCAAAAATTACAAAGTATACAAAGAGTAAAAATACTTGAATAGCTATAATCTAATTATTATATTAAAAAGTCAATGTATGTGTCATTTCCATAGCCTGAAAAAGAAACATATGCATGTGACATTTGTCTTATTAAATTAAATGATAAAGATAACATGATACTTCCTCCGTCCCTAATAACTTTGCCAAGCTTGACCGGCACGAGAATTAATAAAATGAAAAGTGTGTGGTTGAGGTTATTGCAGAGGAGAGAGAATTAATTGGAACCACAAATTCTTTACTTAAAAGGGAAAGTGGCAAAGTTAATGGGACATCCAAAAAAGGAAAGTTGGCAAAGTTATAAGGGACGGAGGGAGTATATATATATATATATATATATATATATATATATGTGTGTGTGTGTGTGTGTGTGTGTGTGTGTGTGTGTGTGTGTGTGTGTGTGTGTGTGTGTGTAATACTACATACAATAATAGCAACAATAATATATCGCATAATTATAAAATGAGACTTATACTTTGAAGATAAAATACGGCTAATACTCTAATAGTTTAATAGCCTACGTACTTGTATATAAATACGTACTTGTATATACTTTGAATAAATGAGACTTATAATACGGCTCTACTAATAATAAAATAAATACGTACTTGTATAGTTTAATAGCTATATCACTACAAAAAATTTACGGGATTGGCACGGAATTTGGCACGGACTTACCGATTTTTTGTGCCAAATAGCTCATGCCAAAGTATTTTTGGCACGAATTCGGCATTTCCGTGCCAAAATCCCTGCCAAATCCCTGCCAAAATCTCTGCCAATCCCGTATTTTTTTTGTAGTGTATATGGCTAATACTCTGTAAATAAGTAATAACATGAAGATATTTACTACTCTCTGTACTTGATATGAGCCAACTCACGGGTGTACGATTGTGATAACTCTGTACATGCATTCTGAAATTATGGGACAACTATATAGTACAGAAAACACCCATGCTAATCGTATTATTATAGTGTTTATTATATAAACATATTATGTGTATCTAATCATATTATCGTATTAACTATTTAATTTTAAATTAATTATGATGTAGTTCATCCGTGGCTAGTATTAGCAAATGAGAGTTCGATGTCCTTGATTTATCTGGTCAAAAGTATTTGGAATGGAAAGTTGACGCTTTGGCACATTTAAAAGCAAATGCCCTTGAAAACACAATTGCTGAAAATAATTCAGCTACTCCCCAAAATAAGGCAAAAGCCATTATCTTTCTTCGTCACCATCTTCACGAAAGTTTGAAGTCTGAGTATTTATTGGTAGATGACCCTAAAGAATTATGAGATAATCTCCAAGAAAGGTATGGCCATCAACAAAAGGTCCTTTTACCAAAAGCTCAATATGACTGGATCAATTTATGATTCCAGGATTACAAATCTATAAGTGACTACAATTCTGCCTTGTTCCAAATAACATCAAAACTGAAGTTATGCAGACAAAAAGTCACTAATGCTGAAATGTTGGAAAAAACTCTGTCCACTATGCATCTTTCAAATATGCTTTTACAAGACCAATATAGACAAAAGCACTTTCAAAAGTATTCTGATTTAATATCAGTATTACTACTTGCTGAGACGAATAATGACATTTTGATGAGAAACCACAATATGAGACCCACGGGTTGTAGCCCTTTTAGTTTTGGTCCACAAAATCATGGTTCAAAACATGAATCAAATGCAACCCATAGTGGTGCTTGTGGACATTTCAAACGTGGTCGTGGTATTGGTCATTATAATGGACCTAGCCGGGGAAACAAACAGAGTAGTAGCTCTTACAAAGGCAAGGGAAAGCAAAACCCCCATCAAACAAGAGGCCCGACGAAAACTTCAGAAAAGGCCAAAGTCACTTGTTTTAAATGTGACACGTCAGGACATTGGGAAAATAAGTGTCGCACACCTACACATTTGGTTGACTTATATAAATCATCTCTAAAAGGAAAGAATGTGGAAACTAATTACGTCAACGAAAACGTTCCACCAATGCCCACATTTAATATGTCTAATTTCTATATGAATAATAATGAGATGAACACTGACATCGTCATGGGTGAAAAATAATAATAATCAAAATGAAATTATTATGTTATGTAATATATTCTGCAATAAAAGTTTGTTGTATTGTAATTTTTATTTGGTGTGCTTGTTTCGATTGTAAAAGTTATGTACATTTTAATGAATAAATTCTTGTTTATATTGCAATATTGAACTAATATTTGTTCATTTTTATCTTTTTAAAGATATGGAGTTAACTGAAATTTCTCCAAATGGCTTTGAACAATGTTTAATAGACAGTGTCACAATGCACATCATTTTGAGACATAGAGATTATTTTTCTCATATGACATTAGTTGATGCTAATGTCAATACAATCTCAGGTGTTGCTAAAATCATTGAAGGTTCTAGAATAGCCTGTGTAATTCTCCCAAAAGGGACAAAATTAATAATTAAAGACGCTTTATACTCCAGTAAATCACGGAGAAATCTTTTGAGTTTCAAAGATATGCGTCTAAATGGTTTTCACATTGAAACAATGTCTGAAAATCAAAAGGAATATTTATGTCTAACGACAAATAGATCTGGCAATAAATACATTTCAGAAAAAATGCCAGCATATTCCTCTGGACTATATTATACATATATCAGTCCAATTGAGATAAATGTGGTATCTAAAATTAATGGCCACAATTCCTTTATCTTGTGGTATGACCATTTAGGTCATCCAGGCAGCACTATGATGCACAAAATTATTCAAAATTCACTTGGACATTCATTAAATAATGTCAAAATTCCACAATCAAGTGATTTCTCGTGCACTGCCTGTTCTCTTGGCAAATTAATTATCAGACCATCTTTATACAAAATTGGAGTTGAATCTCCTGCATTTTTAGAAAGAATTCAAGGAGATATTTGTGGGCCAATTGCCCCTCCGTGTGGACCCTTTCGATACTTTATGGTGCTCATTGATGCATCAACACATTGGTCACACGTCAGTCTTTTATCGACTAGAAATTTTGCATTTGCAAATCTCCTTGCTCAAATTATTCGTTTGAGATCACAATTTCCGGATTATTCAATAAAGATAATCCGACTTGATAATGCAGAGGAATTTACATCCCAATCTTTAATGACTATTGCATGTCAATTGGGATTGATGTGGAACATCCAGTTCCACATGTGCATATACAAAATGGTCTTGCTGAATCCTTAATTAAGCGATTACAATTAATTGCTAGACCATTATTGATGAAATCCAGATTACCATCATCTGCATGGGGATATGCTATAATGCATGCTGCAAATTTAATTCGGCTCACGCCAACTGCATATCATAAATTTTCCCCATTGCAATTAATATCTAGTAAAAAACCAAATATATCTCACATAAAAATATTTGGTTGTTCTGTGTATGTACCAATTGCTCCACCTTATCGTACTAAAATGGGTCCTCAAAGAAGGCTGAGAATTTATGTTGGTTTTAAATCTCCCTCAATTATTAATTATCTAGAACCTATGACTGGTGACTTATTCACCGCACGGTTCGATGATTGTCATTTTGATGAGACAGTATTCCCAGCCTTAGGGGGAGATAATAAAGAAATGGACCCACGTACGAAAGATATTACTTGGAATGCAACATATTTATCTTTTCTTGATTCTCGCACAAATGCTTGTGAACAAGAAATTCAAAAGATCATTCATTTACAAAGTGTTGCAAATCAATTGCCTGATGCTTTCACAGACTCAAAGAAAGTGACAAAGTCACATATTCCATCTATGAATACTCCTTCTCGAATAGAAATTCCTGCGGAGATTAGCGAAAGAACTCTTGCTAATGAATCTATGATACGTAAAAAACGTGGTAGACCACTTGGTTCAAAAGATTTGAAACCAAGAAAATTTAAAAAGCAAGACGTAGTTTGTGATGCCAAAGAAGTTCAAACTTCTCAAGAAGAAAATGAACATTTTGAAAATATCGGCTATGAAGATGACATCAATACTAATGATACCTCAAAAGAGGATCCAATCACCTTTGAAGAGGTAAATATTCCAGATAAAGATAGAAACGTCGATAATTTCAAAATTTCAATCATTTACGTTTCTAATGGAATACAATGGAATAGAAAAGATATTGATGTTAATGATATATTTTCATATGCCATCGCCACAGATATAATGAATGAACACAATGACAATGAGCCTAAATCTATTGACGAATGTCGTCGTAGAAACGATTGGCCAAAATGGAATGAAGCGATTCAGGTATAACTAAAATCGCTAGAAAAGCGTAATATTTTTGGACCAATTGTCCACACGCCAAAAGGCGTAAAACCTGTAGGTTTTAAATGGGTGTTTGTGCGTAAACGCAATGAGAAAAATGAAATCGTTAGATATAAAGCCCGACTTGTTGCCCAAGGTTTTTCTCAAATGCCAGGAATCGATTATGATGAGACGTATTCTCCTGTAGTTGTTTACGATTTTTAATTGGCATGTCTGTTTTTGAAAGACTGCAAATGCGGCTAATGGATGTAGTGACCGCATATTTATATGGTTCACTCGATACAGACATATATATGAGAATTTCTGGAGGCTTTAAAATACCTGATCCTTATAGCTCGAAATCTCGAGATTTATTTTTCATAAAATTGCAAAAGTCATTATATGGATCAAAACAATCTGGACGCACGTGGTATAACCGTCTAAGTGAATATTTGATCAAAGAAGGATACAAAAATGATCCTATTAGTCCATGTGTTTTCATTCAATGATCTGAATCAAGATTCGCCATAATTGCAGTATATGTTGATGATTTGAATATAATCGGAACTTCCAATGAAATTGAAAGTACTGCTAAATATCTCATGAAAGAATTTGAAATGAAAGACCTTGGGAGAACAAAATTTTGTCTCGGCATTCAAATTGAACATTTAAGAAATGGTATTTTTATCCACCAATAAAATTATACTGAGAAACTTTTGAAGCGGTTTTACATGGAAAAAGCTCACCCACTCAGTTCTCCGATGGTGGTTCGATCTCTCGATGTGCATGATGATCCTTTTCGACCTTGTGAAGATGATGAAGAAATCCTTGGTCCCGAAATACCATATTTGAGTGCTATTGGAGCGTTAATGTATTTGGCTAATAATACACGACCAGATATTGCTTTTTCTGTAAATTTATTAGCCAGGTACAGTTCTTCTCCGAAAAGAAGACATTGGAATGGCGTCAAACATATATTCCGCTATATCAATGGTACAATCGATCTTGGATTGTATTTCAAGAATGGTGCAAATGCCACTTTAATTGGCTATGGCGATGTAGGATACTTGTTTGATCCACAAAAGGCAAAATCACAAACAGGATATGATATGTATTCACCTATGGTGATACCGCTATCTCATGGAGATCGATGAAGCAAACATTAACTGCCACATCATCAAATCATGCAGAATTAATTGCTCTTTATGAAGCAGGTCGAGAATGTGTCTGGTTGAGATCAATGATCCAGCACATACAAAATGAATGCGGTATAAAATCTTTTACTTGTAATCCTATTGTGATTTATGAAGATAACACAACATGTATAGTTCAGATCAAAGGAGGTTACATCAAAGGGGATAGAACAAAGCATATAGCACCAAAACTTTTCTCCACACATGATCTTGAGAAAGAAGGAACAGTTGATGTCAAACAAATCAAGTCCTGCGACAAACCTTCTGATTTATTCACAAAGTCATTGGCACCGAAGAAATTTGAAGAACTGGTCCACAAATTTGGAATGTGTCGTCTTCGTGATATATGGTAAAATGAGGGAGAGTAATATAATGCACTACACTCTTTTTCCCTTCGTCGGGTTTTTATCCCAGTGGGTTTTTCCTAACAAAGGTTTTTAACGAGACAGTACATTATAATACTATGATACTAATACCCCAGAATAATTAGAAGATTACCATTCAAGGGGGAATGTTGAAATAAAGTTGAATTAGTCATCTTCTAACTATTCATGATTAGGAACACATTATCATCATTGTTAATATAAATAAGAAATCATAATTATGATTTCTAGATGGTAATTGTATGGCTCACAATTAGCCCCTAATCTAGACAAGATTATATTTTCCCCTATAAATAGGAGTATTCTCCTTCATTGTAAAGACACCATTAGAACATCTATAATACACCTCTATCACTAAGTGTTCATACTATATTTTCTCTCCCCGATCTTCTGCTTATTTGCTTCCATTTTATAACACTTTGTTTATTTTATTTAAGTAATTGAATATGGGTATTGGTCATGTTAGGACTGGAACTCATTAATGAGGAAGACTTCCATTTTCATTGTGAAACTAGCTTAGAACTAGTATAAATACATTCCTCCTCCTTCATAATTGATTATGACTAGTTTTCTAGATTCAGTATTACCAGTTTATTTCCATGTGAAAAGATTTTCTAGCCTTTCTCTTTGGGAGATCTAACCGTCGTTTCGGAAAGGAGAAATCACGTGGATACCTAAGGTCAAGGAGAAAGTTCTGTAAGTGCTAACTCAGATCTATTATTATTATTATTATTATTATTGTTATATTCGTTGTTTTGTCATAATCAGAGAAGATCTGTTTGAGAAATTATAAACTTTAGATGATGTACTTTCGAGGTACGTTACATCAATTTTCTAACAATATCTACTTGTCTGAAATGTTTGATAATCTCGGTTATATCTTTAACTACCCCCTCTCGAATACCGAATCGTGGAGTATCTCTAATTGTAAGTATACACATTTATATACACAATGGAGAGGGACGAATATTATTTTTTAGGCATATAACAAATAATAGGAAGAAATAAATCAAATTATATCTAATAAATGATGCGGATAATAAGGCAGACATGTATAAAACCATAATCGTCGTGTTACACATATAAATAAAACTGTAATTCCCCGCCCTGCACTTGTTACCTTGACAATGCAGTTTTTCCAATTTTCATCGAAACAGTTCAGTGCAGGTATGCATCATATCAATCACAATAATCGTCATCCCTAACTTGGACAACTAGAAGCAAAAATATAAACCATCTAAGGGAGGAAAAATAAGTTTCAAATGTTTATGAACACACTCTGCTGGTTATTTTATTATTGATAATTTAACTACAAATGGGGTATTTGTTAGTACTCCGTAATATATGTAGGGATCTTCCATCATCTTTCTTGGAAGTTGCCAAGAGGCATCTAACACCTTCTTGGAACGAGCTATCCAACAAATGAAAATGGGAAGAAGATATGGAGAAGATGGAAGCACTACTTCTTGTCTCCAAACAAGCCCTATAAATAAAGTGTTCTATTGGTGTTCATATCATCGGTTTAGAAAGTGAGAAAAGTGTGTGAAGAGTGAAATACACTTAGTGTAGAAGTGTATTGGTGAGGATTGATTTTTTTGTAATAGTTGAGTGTGAGAGTTTGCTCCTCCTATTGTAATTCTGTTCTTGATATTGAAAAGAAGAATTTTCCAATCCCAAGAAGTGGTATCAGAGCGAGGTTGAGCTTCCATACACTTTTTCTCATTTTTCAGAAAAATTTCTATAGGTTAGAAAATCGTGATTTTTGAAATTGCTCGGAATCACGATCTGATCATACCGTTAGATTCGTCTCGTCGATAGGAGAAATCTGGTTTTTGGGATAATTTTTTAGCCACTAGAAGAGGCCATACGCGCCGCCCAACCGCCGCCTGAAAATGCCCGCATCATCACGCGCAGTCCAAAGGAAGAGGACGACCAATCAGTGCCAGGTCATCACCACGTCATGCCCAGTCAGCTCCAGGTCAGCTGCCACATCATCCGATCAAGCCGCCGATCTGAGCACGTCAGCTGCCACGTCTTCGCCACGTCACTGCCACATCAGTGCCAGCGCAGAGTCAGCTGTTGCCACGTCATCCGCCTGCAGGTCTGCACATTGGGCTGCTGCCTGAACCGGACCGAACCGGTTCGTAGTTGTGGAGGCCGGTTCACCTATTTCCAGACCGGTGTGGGACGAGGTCAGACCAGTTCCTACCATTTTCGGCCATTCCGGATCCAACGGTGAGCTCCGTTTGTCCAAATTCGGCCTCAACAATAAGGTACGAGATATATTGAGAGTTTTATTATGGATAAATCGTCGTCGGACATCATGATTGCGCTCACTTCCACAAACAACAATATGTGGAAGTCTCGAATGGAGGATTTGCTAAATTTGAGGGATTTAGCGGATCATCTTGATAATAATGGCGTCAAACCGGATAAAAAGACGGATGTAGAATAGACAAAAATGAATCGAAAAATTGTCGCACAAACTCGACAGTGGATCGATCATAGTGTGGTCCACCATGTTGCTCAAGAACAGAGTGCTTACACACTATGGGTGATACTACTCTTGAGCTCTCTACCTGACAGCTAGGAGAGTACTCTTGTGGTCACTCTCAACAATTCTGCTCCCAATAGCAAGGTGACTATGCATATAGTCACAGATGCCCTTATGAACGAAGAAGCCCGAAGAAAAGAAGCCGGGACTGGACAATCATATGCCCTCATATCAGAAACTAACAGACGAGAGGGATGCAGAAATGGAGAAAGAAGTTGAGGTCGAGGTAGAGGCCAAGGTCGAAACAGAGGAAATTCTCAAGTTCGCGGCAGATCACAAGAGAGAGGTATGTCCTTTGAAACCAATACTTGGTTTGAAGGATATTGCAATTACTGTGGTAATTATGGGCATAGAAAAAGAGATTGTAGAAAGTTTCTACGAGAGCAGCCACAAATGAGTCAAAATACTAGCCAAGAAGATGGTGCGACCATGGTTAGTTTGTCATGAGACGTGTTACTTGTTACACATGGTGAATAAGAATGTTTACACGTAGGTACTCATGATGTTGAGTGGGTGGTTGATACAGCCACATCATTTCACGCCACTCCACACCAGAACTTATTCACGTCTTATAAGTCTGGAGACTTTGGAGTTGTGAAGATGGGAAACACCAGTTTCTCGAAGATTGTTGGCATTGGTGATGTGCACATAAGAACCAATGTCGGATGCGCACTTGTGTTGAAAGATGTTCGACACGTTCCGGATCTTAGATCGAATCTTATCTCCAGTACAGCTCTGGATCAGCAAAGATATCTTAACCGATTCAAAGAAAGTACGTGGAAATTATCTAAAGGTTCCTTGATTGTTGCAAGAGGACATATTTGTGGTACTCTTTATAAAACTCATGCAAAGTTGTGTGATCCAAGTCTCAATGATGTTGAAGAAGAGACATCACCAAACTTGTGGCACCGGAGGGTAGGCCACTTAAGTGTGAAGGGATTCACAACTCTTGCAAAGAAGGAAGCCATTTCCATAAGCAAAGGTGTTGCCCTAGATCCATGCGAGCATTGTCTATTTGGGAAACAACATAGAGTTTCCTTCACTTCTACCAGGAAGAAGCATTCACAGTTACTCAGTCTTGTACACTCAGATGTATGTGGACCCATTGAAGAGGAGTCACTTGGAGGAAGTAGATATTTTGTGACATTCATTGATGATACGTCACAAAAGGTATGAGCTTACTGTCTAAAGAGTAAGAATCAAGTGTTTGATCGTTTCAAACTATTTCATACCATGGTAGAAACAGAAACAGGGGAGAAGGAGGGCGAGCTAACGGTGGAGACGGCGACTGGTGGTGGTGGAGACCGATTGTCTGGTGGCGTGCAACATCTATTCTAGGTTGGGTTATGGATTTATGGATCACATATGAGTGAAGGAATTCATGGCCTGGAGGAGAGATGCGATGATGGCTGAAGCAAGGTTGAATCGACATGGTTATTTCGGTCCAGTTATTATTAGTAAATCACTTTTTTGTCTAATTTTAAGTGTGATCCTATATTTGGAAAATGGAAACACATATGTATTATTTTAGTCATTATTTCAAATTTATACTACTTATGCTATTTTATATTATATATAAATCAATATAAAAAAATTGTTATTACTATTCTTCTTCTTATTATTATTATTTGTATGACTATAGTGGTAGTAATTATGAAGTATTCTTAATTTAATTCTAAATCGTGTCTATAACATCAATTTAAACATAAATTTGTCTCATACCATATTTGGTAAAATTTGTTTGGTTCTAATTCATTATTACTTTTTTCATACTTTATTAATTCACTAACAATTACATACGAGTAACTCTTATTTTTCTTATAAATCGCACCACTCTCCTTTTTCTCAATATTAGGGGGTAGAGGCAGTATAAAAATATACAGATAAAAATTAAATCTAATCTAGTTGATCTTAGATTGTTTTTTTTAAATAAAACGCCCTTTATATTAACTTCTTGTATGCAACTATATATTACAATAATGATTGACTTACATTAGAGTCCAATAAATTAAACGTTTCATTTATTATTAATATTAATATTAATATTATTATTATTATCATCATCATCATACTTTTAGAATAGATGTTTGCTTAGTTGATTACTATTGGGCTATCCCTCTCAATATGTATTTTGTTTTTTATTAATAATGCTTCCGTAAATGTTCCCCGACATTTGCCCCACTGATTTTGGGATAAAAAATTACTATTGGGCTATTAGCGGTTAAATATTTTGATTACTTATTAAGAATAGTAAAATTATTAGATAGACGTATAATGATTTAGACTTTAGAAATTTCCTTAAATATTTTAATGCTATATATGACAATACATACTTACCTAAAATACGTACAAACCAGGCATAACCGCTCGTGCTTACATCACTTATTTGTCACGATGATGTGAATTCCTATTAAATGTGGATTGAATTGGAAGAAGAAATCTAGGCGATCCCTCCCTCGTGCACATGACAATAAATATGTCATCAATTGCTGGAAAAGTTTTTACTATGATGAATAGATACGAAGACTTAAAATTTAATATTAAAATCTAAATAGGACTAAATTTTCATTTTGTTCCAATATTACCCCTGCATTTACTTCAACCGTGCAGCACCCCACTGCCCTCTTCATTTTCCGCTCAAACTTGCGCAAGTTTGGAACAATGGGCAACTTCGACGAACGGAAGCAAGCAACGGTCAGCGACGACGAGCAACAACAAGCGGCGACGAGCGGTGAAGGTGTGGCGACAAGCGGCAGCAAGTGGCGAGCAAAAGCAAGGAGCGGCGGCGAGCGTTGAGCAATGGCTGGCGACGATCTCAAGTTCAGATCTGTTTTGGAATTCAGGTTCGTTGTTCCACTGTCTTGCTTTCTTCTTCGTCTTCCTCAATCACTCCTCTGTATTCCATATCATCTTCCTCATTTGCTTTATTTTTAAAAAATGCCAAATTTTATTTAAAAATGTCATTAAAATGGCAATTTTACTCTTCAAAAATGCCCATCTTCTAAGTGCCCTCCTTTTGTTTCACCTTTTCGTCATACGACGAAAGCTCAGTTTTATATTTGGTGGTTAAAAAATTTCAACTTTATTCTGAAATGCCATGAAAGTGGCATTTTTACTCTTAAAAATTTCATATTCCTTTGAAAATGTCATTTAGATGACATTCTCGATTTATGATGGCAATCTGATAAAAATTTTGGCATAAGGTCGGATCTGCAACGGTGGATGCTAGTTATGCAGTAGCAGAGGCCGGATCTGCAGCGACGGAGGCCGGATCTGCAACGACGGAGGCCAAATCTGTAGGGACAACAGCCGGGGGTCGGAGGCGGCCAAATCTGGCCAGATCTACGGCGGCGGCGGACAAATCTACGGTGACAACGGCCGGATTTGTAGCGGTGACCGGTTCTGCGGCGGCGGCGGCCGGAAACTGGCGGTTCGGCGGCAATCCGAGCTTCTGTTGGCAAGAGTTGGTTTTGCTAAGTTTGAGGGCATTTTTGTCTGGTTATAAATAATAACTCCTATTTGGGAAAATTTTAAATTTATTCCTCTTTTAGCAATTGATGATTTATTTACTCCCATTTAGGTAAATCCCTCTTACTCAAAAACATTTTATTGTTCATGTTCCAAAAGTAGGGCAATAGATTTCTTGCACTGACTTGATGGAAAAGTATATTTGAGGAGTAAATATGGTATTTTAACAACACTAGAGTATTCTACATGACCATGATCAGCCAGCGGAATGAAATTAAAATAATCATTGACCAAAATTTGCTGAAATAATTTACTTATCATGATGCATGCCCCAATTTGATCGATCAAATCGATTATATTTCATCTTGACAATATTTTGAAAGATCAAATGAATTATTTGTATATTGGTATAACTTATGTATCAATAAACGAACTACAAACGTGTTAATTTGAAAAAAGAAAACACATAGTAGTACATTATTATGTATTGGTATTATTCCAATCAAAAAATTCAAAAGTAGTAAGTACGTAAGCTATGATATCTATTCTTCGCCTTGTGACAAATGCACAGTCGCGAACTCTAATAATTGAATTATATAAAGTTTAAAAAGTTAATTGGTTTAGGTCATTTCCAACAATCACCAAATCTTCTATCAAAGTGGGGGATTTGCAATTTTTTTACTCCAATAGCTACACCAAATGTTTCACCATTTCACCAAATTAAAATGGGGAGGGGCTTTTGCTTTACGCCATATATGGAGCATCACCATCCCCGCGCCATCTTTTGCTTCTTTTTTGTTCTTATTTCAAAAGTAACCCAAATTTTTGATTATTATAGTTTTGACCCAATCTAGAATAACAAATTTAAATTATAAATTAAGTTATTACCCTAAATAGGAGTAAATCAATCAATAAAAAAGTTCCAAAGTAGGAGTTTATGTTGATTTATTCTCTAAATAGGACCTTTTAGTTGATTGCCTGTTTTTCTTTTCCGGATTTACCCTCCTCATATTTAATTTACTGAATTGATCTACTTTCATTAGTTGTCACCCACCATCTATCTCTCTTTCCCCTTAATGTCACCCACATGTCTCTCTTTCCCATATCTTCCTTCCACACTCAATTGCATCTCTCTTCGTCACATGTAAAAGTTTATCTTTCTCATGGATTTCAAAGACGGAAGAAATACTCTCCAGCTCTTCCACCGGTCGCACAACGACTTCTCTTCTAGACCGTCACTTCGTCCATGTGTGGTAACTTCGGAGACATACCAGTCTTCTCCGATAAGTACCCCTCCTCCTCCATCTTCTTCTCCTCCGTCCTCACTTCTTTATTTTATTCTCTTGATTATTTTATATTATTTCATATGTTTAATTTTGAGATTTCAAATGAAATTTTTATTTTAGATCTGTAATTTTTGTATTGAAAATCTCCATTGATCACTTACATGAAATTTTGGATCTTATCTTTTGGATATTAATCGGTGGTCTGAAAGTTTTAGATATATTTTTTATTTACTTCAATTAATTTGTTTTGAAAAAATGAAAAAAAAAGTTTTGGGATTTGGCAATCTGAAAAATGTCAATAAAAAAATGAAATATTTTATTTGGGATTTTTCTAGTAGAGAAGATGGCTATTCACTCCTAGAATACAACAACTTTAATGCCATGTTTTTCATTGGTATGACACTAATATAATATAACGAAGATGGCAATACTTTTCATATTGTAATACATTAATGCCATGTTTTTTAATTACAAATGTCATTTTATTTCTGTCAGGATGACAATAATATGGTTAACATGACACTACAACTGTAAGATGGCAACAGACTGATAGTCATACCAGATTCAAAATCAGATCTAATATCTACACTGCTAGGGTAGGCGGCAGTGCCAGAGGTCGCACCGTTCAGGGAGCTAGGTGAGACATGATGGTGTTCGATGAAGCGACGGTGAAGAAGCCGGATATGGCGGCGGCGGCGGCAGTTGATGGCAAGGCCAAACGAGGTCACAGATTGAGCTTCCGGTGGCGCATGTGGTGGCGGAGATGGCGGCGCCAACGTTGGTGGCAGGTGAGGCGGCGACGAAAATCAATGTTCTTATGTGCGCGGGGGGGGGGGGGGGGGGGGGTACATGCAAGGCTGTTACGTTGGACCTTTCATATTTTCATTTATTATTTTATTATTTTATTTTGTATTATTAATAAAATAACCTTATTTGTTCATTAAGGGTAATTATGTCAACCCCTTCCTTTTTACTCCTATGGAACATTAATTAGACTCATATTCTTGCAATTACAACACCTTTTACTCCCATATGGGGAATTATCTCTTGTAATTTTGATACAATATAATAAAGTTTAAATCACACAATATTATAAATTTGAAACAATATAATAAAATTTAAATTATAATTTTTGTTAAATTTGATAAAAAATAAAAAATAATAATAAGAAATACATATTGATTATAGTATTATTTTTGTTTGTATTCGTGAAATGATGAGTGAAATGCCAAAAAAATTAAATGAGGGGTTAATGTATAAATAAATGATAATTAGATAATTAAATATAATAATGGTAGAAAGTTAGTAAAAAGAATAAAAACAGAATATTCCTTTTTAGTGATAAAAATGGTGTAAATCGTTAGAGATAAAGTATTCTATGATGTGATATTTACACCGTTTTAGTGCAAAAAATGGTGTAAACTATTGGAGATGGGCTTAAGAAGTTAATTGAGATGGTAATTGAGGAGAATCTCTAACTAGACTACCTGGCATGTAGACATCTATGGAGAGTACTATAAGGTTGGGCATGTTCATATACCTAAAATGCCTCCTTGATAAATTAAATCAAATAAATATGTGCATGTACGTCCCATACAAATGTATTTGTATTCTCCTGTGCATCTCACAGGTACAATACTAGTAATATTAGTATTACCACTACAAAAAAACACGTCGTTTGTCACGGATTTTTGTCACGGATTCCGGCCGTGACAAATTTGTCACGGGCTTTGTCACGGAATTCTGGGATTTGTCACGAAAATTATTTGTCACGGATTTATCACGGATTTGTCACGTGACAATATTTTGTCACGGATTTGGTCCGTGACAAATTTACTCCGGCGACCGGTTTTTTACTCCGGTGAATACTTTTTTGCTTCCGGGCATTTGTCACGGACAGGTCCGTGATAAATCCGTGACAAATTTCAAAAAAATTCAATTATTGATTTTCCAGCGGTAACCTTTAATAATACGGTATGGGAAAAGATTTGTCACGGATAAATCCGTGACAAATCCGTGACAAATTTCAAAAAAACTCAATTATTGATTTTCCAGCGGTAACCTTTAATAATGCGGTACAGAAAAAGATTTGTCACGGATAAATCCGTGACAAATCCGTGACAATTTTTTTTATATAACCCAACTCCATCGTCCATTACAATTGCAAGAACAACAATCAGTTCAAAAATTCGTAGATTCGAGTGATGTAGTATCGGTTTAAAGATTGAATGATGTAATCCGTCAGTTCATCATTTTCCGAGTTTATGCTGATAAGGTATGTCATTTTAATTAATTTCTTTTAATTGTGTGATAAATTAATTATTAGCTTAATTAATTAATTATTATTAGTGAGGTTAGGATTCTTTTTTCTTTATATAATAATAATTAATTATTAGCTTAATAATTAATTAGTGAGGTTAGTTATTGTTCATTTATTTAAACTATTAACGTAATTTGGTGAGGTCATGTTAATTTTCATATTATTAACAATATATTATTAAACTATTAACGTAATTTAATTAGTTAAATTTAAATATAAATATTAATTAGTTAAATTATTGTTATTATTAATGCATAATAATTTAGGATGTGTAGTGATGATTTAAGTATTAGCTAGCTTATTATAGATTAATTAATTAGTGACTTGTAGTGATTTAATTAATTAGTTAGCTAGCTTAATTATTAGGTTATTAATTATCACCAATTATTATTTATTAGCAATTATTGTTAATGGGATGCATAATTAATATAGCTAGCTAGGATTGAAACTTTATTATTATTTAGTTTAGTGTGAATTATTATTGTGAATTATTAATGAGATAATATTTAACAATAATATTAGTTAAATGTAAATTAATTAACTAATTAATTAAGTTAAAACATTGAGGAAATGGGTTTAGAATTTGATGAGTTGATAATATTAGTTAGATTTAAATATTAGTTAATTGATCAATGATGATAATGCATGATTAGGTTTAATTTGTTTATTAATTAGTTAATTATTGTTAATGCATAATTTAGGATTTGTAGTGATTTAAGTTAGGATTCAAACTTTATTAGTTAAGTGTGAATTATATATTATTGTGAATTAATTATATTTAACAATATTAGTTAAATGGAAATTAACTAATTAATAAGTTAAATTAGTTAATTATTGTTAATGGGATGCATAATATATATAGCTAGGGTTGAAACTTTATTTTTATTTAACAATCTCACGGATTAATTTCCGTGACAAAAACGTTATCACGCCCCTGGTGTCACGGATGGGATCCGTGACAAATCCGTGACAAAAAATCATTTGTCACGGATTTTTTGAACTACCGTCCGTGACAAAATCCGTGACAAACGGCGTGTTTTTTTGTAGTGTACTATTACTAGATTTTTCACCTGTGCGTTGCAGGGGAGGAGATTCTCATTATTAAGATATAAATATGACTTCAAACATTTAAATTTCTCAAAATGTTTGTGATAAAGGCATTTATTGAATGGTAATATCTCGTGAACTACGAGTATTTTGTAAACAATTTCGAAGAAGTATTAATCATCATCACATTCACTTTTGATATAATGTGCATCATATCAAGAGAAGTCTTTGTTGTTAGGATTACAGGATACACATTATTCATGGGCAAAAATTAGAATGACATAGAAACATGACCTCCTAAACCCCCCAATTCTTGTTGAAAATCTCTTCAGTGTGCGAGGATACATCTCAAACTAAGTCGCTTTCTAGATTGCATTGCAAACAACTATACCTACTTTCAGCTTAAGGATGTTTTTACTTGGACCGTAATTTGTTGGTCTGGTCTGGTCTGGTCTGATCTGGTCTAGTCTGGTCTGGTCTGGTCTGAACTGGTTTGGTCTGGTCTGGTCTGGTCTGGTTTCTTTGTATTTTTATAACTACCCAAGTCTGGTCTGTTCTGGTCTGGTCTGGTCTGGCCTGGTCTGGGACGAATTACAGTCCAAGAAAAAACATCCTAAATTCATATCT